GGGCCTAACGGAATGTTTTCTTGGAGTATTGCTTAGAAAAATTTATATTGCATCCAGGATGTGACCATCAAACACTGCCAGGCCGGATCCAAGTCCACCTATTTCATATTTCCAATATCTTATCCTTATAAACAACTTGCGTGGGCCCAAATCAGAGAAGCTAATTTTCAGCCAGCCAGCGCCATTTTCTACTTCTTTAAATGCATGCACATCCACATGAGAAGTATTTAAAGCCGATTTTATGAAAGACAACAGAAGTTAATACAGGACGCAGTGATTTGAATGTTGCAAACTTGACCATATGCCGCTTTACTTTCAAATTATGTGTGCAACTTCTGCGTGCCCGATTACCAGTTCCTGATCCTCATCCAAGTGATTTCGTATTTTCGCGGGTTCTCTCTTATGACCTTACTAAATGACCTTGCAATGATGATTTTTATATCGTTTCCTTGTATCATGGTTATATGATGAACAACGGTGGACCACGTAAAAAAAATACGGATTGTAATTTAGGCCATGAAGAAAGTTCTTTTCGAATTTTAAATGCTTGTGCCTGTGTGTGTGGCGCTTGACTTCATTTTATGACTGTTGCAACTTCATCGATCAGAACATGTTCATTTGAGAAACATATACACTGGCTAATTTTCCATCTGTGTAACTCCCAACGCGGCCCATAATTTGAGAGCGTAAATCTTAAATCCAGCTGTCTATATTTCAAATGCACATCGGGGCTGCTGTATGAACTGCAGCGATTGTAATATCAGTTGCGCCCATTTGCATCATTAAATAATATGATTTGTTCTATATTATCCTAAAGAACTCATTCAAGCCAATGTCAGATAAAAAATTGCGAATCGTGCGCTTTTTCCGCTCAATACGATTTTAGCAGTTAACAGTTCAATTCTTTTTTATTATGGCAAACATACTAACGTATTAAACTTGACCAGTGACATATATGATCAACACTTTTGAACACATAAAATTGCATTCTGGTACGAAACACTACGAAAGTACGCGAGTATCACTTAAAATCAGACAAATTCAACGAACGCGAGTATCAAATAATAAGAATAAATAAGAAAATCCCGAAACTGCTATAAAATCCAATCAAGCGTCGCAGTAGTCGATTAAACCCAAATGTCGGACGAGAAAGTTTTCGATTCAGAGCTTATTAGTGGCTGTTATTACAGCCCTATGTATACTGTAAAGCCCATTTTTTATATTCGTTTACGTATTATTTCAGTGTGGAAAGTGTTAAACGAAGTTTACCGGAAATAGTGATCCGCATAGACTGTGTCACCTTCTTCTTTTTAAATATGTAAATACGTCGTCTAGTGTTTACCGGCATTCTGTACTTAAACCCCGTAGCAACAAACAAGAATACACGTACTCTTAAGTGTATTTTACGAAATTGTGCATGGTACGCTAGTAACTGATTTAGTTAAACACTAATCACGTTCGCGTCGTTCTTGTCATTTGCAAGAGCCACGGCTGCTGTCAACACGATTCTCTTGAAGATGCTACACTTTTATACAGCTTCGCGAGAAGCCGTATTTGAGAGGTGAAATGAATGTAGCAGTATGTAAGTACTCTATTATAATGAATGTTCAATCTGTCGTAGAAAGTTGAAATTGACTTGTGGATTTCAGAATAGTAAAGTCATCGCGTCCTAGAAGAATGTCGTAGAAAAAAGTGTACAAACATTTTTGAAAAGCAAAGATGAAACTGTTCGGAGAAATGTATTTGTAAAGTGCTGTGATATAATTAAATTGAGGGGTACTGCGGTCCAGATGAATGCTACGTGGTGTATCTTGTTTAGATCCTGATCTGTTTTAGCATTCGTTGGTTGGTCCATAATACCTCCGGTGGGAAGTTTACGATTCATTCAATGCATACCAATGAGTTTTTCGGCAACTCCAAGATAGTAGACGGTCTGAGCGATACCGAATAGCGGCGCAATGACGATCATACGGCAGCCGGCCCCTTTGAAAAACGCCTTTAGGCCTTCATTTTTGAAGATTTTTCTGTAAACACGGCAGACAGCAATTGCAAAATGCTAAAATATTGCTAAAATACATATAGTAAACAACACGAAGCTCAGTCTAAGTCACTCGAATCGGACACTAAAGTCATCGGACGTGCAAGGTATAGTACACGCAATACAATATTCAAGCATGCGAGGACGTCATTGTCATTAAGATGATTTGCAGAACTTCTATGATGCCAAGATATTCACGTGCTAGATGGGAAACATGCAGTCAAACTTCTCTCACGACTCCCCGCGGACCTTCCGTTCACGCAGTCTAGTTCGGGATACGAATCGATACTCATACTGTTGGGAAGGCAGATAATACAGTCAGCCCAAACTCGCCTTCTCTCTCTCCCCCTCTCAAATCTTCAGTCCTTGTGTAGAAGATATCACATAAATATATTGAATCTCACAATGTATATATATATATATGGGGTGGTACGTTGAAATTGGGGAAAATTTTAGAAGGTTATTTGTTGCTAACAGACATACCCTCCTCCGCTACTCCCGGTAAGAAACTAAAACCGTTTTTCTCAGAGCAAAAACATGGTATAGCTGTAAACATTACGTTGTTTTGTGGGACTTGAGCAATCAGTTACGCCAACCTGACGCGATTCATAATTGTGTGCTAATTAAACCATATTTCATAATTCTGGTCAAAAAGTGAACTTTTTTGACTACCCAATATATATATCACGCTGATTCAACCACGTTCGTCCCACTTAGTGCCCGCGCCTCATTATGCTTGTGCAAAAATCTTAAAACCCATATTCTAGACAATGACTATTACATGTTGATTGGGTCCGAAGAATACAAATCATGTGTGAGATAAGATACGTACATGCAAGCATCGGCCACTCCGTTGTAATTTTCTTCGCCGCTTCCCTTGGTCAGTAGTTGTAATCGCGTTTTCACCACATCCATGGGGTTTACGGCACAAGCGGCAGTTGATCCAGCTATGCAGCCAGACAAAAAGCTTGCCCAAAACACCGTTGTTCCGTCCTCACGTTTTGGTCCGAGCGAGTTAAGGTTGGCGAATAGCGGAAAGTAGATCATCGAAAATGTTACATCACGAAGTATTGTCGCTCCTGTGCCTTTGTACAAGCCCACAATACCCTCGCGTTTAATTAAGTCCATAGCGATTGTTGTTGCCGATAACTTCAGTACCCCGCTGCTTGACTTCGCTAGATAAAATTAGACGATAAAAATCAGAATTAGTATAACGCAACAATCCAAGAACGGAAAGCGTTAAGTTATACAGATATGAACAGATTGGCTTTGTTATTGTGAAAAACAGCGTGGACAACGTTGTGTGCGCCACCAAAAACTTCATTCCCACAACCGGTCTTTTCTTTATTCTTTATAGGCATTAGCCTTACTAGGGTTTATCCTCACTTTCAGCAGCACATTACCCTAGCTTATTTGTTATCCGCTGAAGCAGTCAGCTGAGTGAACAACCGGCCATTGTCGCACTTGCTCAAAAACCTTGCTGTACTAATGTGAGAAAATAAGCCAGAATATAATGCAAAGCAATGTTTAGAGCCATGAAAGACAGCTAAATCGTTCAAATGTCCAGTATTCCATCAAAGGTGCAAGTAATAGAGCTCCAAGAGAATTGTAAAGTGCGTCAGTCTGTTTTCCCTCGCCTAAAACCATTTTTCACACGCTTCTGTAAAAAAGACGATTGTTGTTTGCCACTTACCAACTCTTCCGGCGTCCTGCAGCTGAATTTTAAGCAATTCCATAGGGGTTGTAACAACGATCTGACAGAATCCAGCTCCACCACCCGCAAGCATTTCATTTGCTAACGATAATTTTCTACAATCATGTGACGCACAGACAGCAAAAGTGAACCGCGAGCATAAATTAGTTCGGTATATTTGCATGAGTGATAATCTTCGCGACCTATCGACAGATGCCAATCTGCGACTTGTGTCTTATTATTCATGATCTGTCTTTTTAACATACATCAAATAGCTGCATTAAATAACATGTACTTTCTAATCTCGAACGGACCCCTTTTGTTTCGAATTTATCGAAGATAAACGATGGACAATTGAATAGAGCAACCCATTCCGCGGGAAGTTATTCTCTCTGTTGGGCTTTCGAAGAAACCAATGAAGATGATGAAGCGGGGTAAACTTCTCAGCCAACCAGCTATTGACGGCAGAGCCCAAAACTCACCCGACTCGCGCGTCAGTTAGATAGTGTCGGAAGAAGTCGTTGGCTGTAAGCTTGATTGCCTTCTCCGGTGTGATGAGCAGAATGTTGACCGCTGAACCTCGATACATGCCGAAATAACCTTCGCGTGCGTACGTCTTACGGAAACAGTCTAACATAGACTTGTATTGTGCCTCGCCCTTTGGCCCAATCTAAACAAAGGCATTTTGGTTGCAAGAAACAAAGCCATATGCGTGCGTGCAGTAAGCATTGAAATTTAAGTATTTACTGTTAATTTCTATGGAAGGAGCTTGGACATCTGACTGCCCTTATCGGAGCAGTTTGAATCGAAAAATTTGAGAAAATATTTTACTATTGAGTAGGAAAATCGGCTTTTTGAATTAATTGACTACTTAATAATACAATTACACGGTTAGAAATGTGTATAGATTCGTATAGTATTTAATCTCTTCCCACTGCAACGTTCATCTCCAATACGTACACCGTGGAAGAAAATGCCATTTAGTGAAAGTAACGCTATGAGCTGATTATTATTTTCGACGTATTGTACAATGGATCAGTATCAATTCACTCGGAGCCACGGCTTTAATTAATTAATTAAAACAACAGGAGTCTATCGTCCATGCGTTCGACCTGAGAGGTATGTCGTTACGCAATCTATATGCTGAAAGCCGCAGATGTTAGTAACTAGGGTATGATCTCGTATTTGGAACGATTCGAAAGGATAATGTAAATGGCTTAGGGTTGAGTTAAATCACCAAGAAGTCGTGTGTGTTGTTCGCTATCGATAGAATGCCTGTTTGGTCTCTGTTCTTTGCATTTATTTTTTGCATAACAGAAGCAGTACATATAATTGTACATATATAATAAAATACGCAACCTTGATCTTTTTCGATACGTTTTTTAGTGTCAATAAAACCGACGAAGTGACTCTCTTTTCATTGCACCCGGCAGTATAAAGGAATTGAGTCCAAATGTAGATTCACGCCTACGTGTATTAATGTTAGTTGTTTTTGAAAGATTGAGCGATGGACGAAAGGCCCGAGAAAACGTTCAAAAACTAAGGTGTCCTAATTTAAATCCTAGAACCTTGAATTATATTATTGTAATTCGCAGCATCCATATACTACTTTTCATAAATGCTTCGATACTCAAAATATAATGATGACAATTGTCGTTCGAAACACACGTCAAACGCTGTTACAAAGCTAATGAGCACCCCTGTTACAATCAGGAGGACATCTTCTCCTGCGATAGCTGACAGGTAAAAAGGAATCAACGAATACACACACACAGACATACACACACACACACACACACACACACACACACACACACACACACACACACACAGCACACACACACACACACACACACACACACACACACACAGA